ACTGAAAATGAGCAGGCATGAAACTTAAATTCATGCTGTAATGTAAAGAAATGCTTTTGCCCAAAGAGAAAATTAAGGAGGAACTAAATGAATTGATGTGCTATGCATTGTGTACAGTGATTTTATGTGATGCTTGTTCATAGAAATAAAGAACTGAATTGTTTCAACCGTTGCACAATTGTCCCCACCACCCCTAAGCTTTTGATATATTGAAGCTATTTACAGAGCAAAGGAGGAAATTAAATCCCTTGTGCAATCCAACTATAGCTAGCAGGATTAAACCAGCTATGAATGTGATCCAAAACAGTGGGTATGTCCACTGAGAAGAACACTGTCAACATGTCCATAACATTGAAAGATAAAAAAGTATTATAAACAGTAAAAGCTATACTTGTAAAATCCCATCATCATATGGGATTTCTCAGACTATACACTATTCCTCCATTACTCCTTTGACTGCATATGTTCACCAAGAAACGTTTGTCCTAGAAATTCAGCTGCAAAGAGAGTACAAACCCAACTGGAAAACATTTTGTAAAAGTTATTTTAAAATAATAGCAAGATGAAGCAACCAATTCTGAACACAAAGTCCAAAGTCCCTGGAAGTCAATTTTTGCTACTGTTTGATCAGTACTCTCTTAGCAGCCTGAATCTGTCATCTTCTGGTTGTAGCTGGAAATATTCTCCACCATGTACTTCTATCACTGATGTTACACCTCATGCAATGGAGTCTCAGTGTAGGAGGCAGAAAGAAGACTCAGCATGCAGAACGTTCAAAGAAATTTCTGAACATGCTCTTCAGAAAGCAAGGCTCTTGATAAGTCCATTTAATTTCAGTGTAAATCTAGCAGAGATCTGCACAGAGTGGGTGGGAATTTCCTTCTTTCCATCTGCCACACTAAAGACAGGGTAAGTTTTGTTTTGCCTTTTTATCCACTTTCTTTCTTAGTATCAGACAGTGTATAAACTTACAACAGTTCAACCCTAGCACACAAGCTTTGGCCCACAGTTCAAATTCCTCAGTTATAAGGATTTAGAAAATGAGTTTTACTTTGCTTAGTACCAGAAAGTAGTCCACTTCATAAATTTAGAGTCCTGGCTTGAATTTCTGGTGCCCTTTAGCCCTGGGGCTGTTCAAATCCAAGATCACAAAGCTGTTTGTGAATCATGTGGATGTGCATATGAGTTTTTCATTTCATTTCTGCCCAGTGAGGCTCAGGATTGTCAGCATCAGGGTTCTGGTTCAGTCCCACTCTGGGTTTGAAAAAGAGACCTCCAGTTGCTCAGTTTTTACCCTTATTTCTGATCTGCTTTTGTAGCCACCACGTATAAAGTGTTCTTTCTCCCTCCCCGCCTCCCACCCAGTATTCCCAGAAACATCTCTGCTCATAGGATATCAGGAATTTGTCACACAGGAAATGCCAGCTGTACTGCTTAGGAAGAAGGCAGCAGAGTGATAAAATGTGTGCTTTCTTTCGGCAGTGCAGTCAGAATCCAACCTGTCCCCACAGATCTTTCCCCCCCAAAACAAATTTATCTTGTTATAGTACTCAGTAGTTACATCTAAGAGGTGAGGAAGTAAAATATCCAGAAACAAATCCAGCTTTCTTGCTTTAACAGAATTTAAGCAGAGGCTGTTTCATTATTCAGATCCTCAAATGTCATTTAGGTGTGTTTGCTGTGCAAATCATCTATTAAAGTGTCTAAAAGTGTCTAAAACAAAGCTAAGGAAAGCCACTCTCTTCTTTAAAAATCCTGTTGTAGAAACAGAGCTACATTCCAGAGGAAATTTCAATAACTATGAATATTTTTTCCACTGCTGCAATTCAATGAGACAAAATTCATTTATTGCTCTTAAGCTCCTACAGTTGCTGTAAGTTTCTTTGTCATTCTAAAATGTTTAGTACGCACAGAAAGTTTCACGATGGTTAAAAGACTCTTCTCGAAATATTCAGAAATAAACACCAGACTTTAAAGTTTGCAGCAAGCAGACTTCACTGATAGTATTTCTGTGTATGCATCTTTTATAAATTTGTATTTTTATTTCAAAATATAAAACATATATCAAAATATTGTACATTAAGAATAAGTACAAATTTATTAAAAAATTAACTTATAAACAAGCTCAAAAACCTTGTTACATTCCACAGGTTTTAACCAAGTGTTAGCATGTTAGAATGAACTACTGCCATCCTCCAACTTTAAATTCTTGCTTCTTATTTGTATTATAGGAGTATGTGCACAGATATATAGGTTAATTGTATTCTGTTAATGTTTCCTCATCAAATAAGGCAAAAGTCTGGATTTTCAAACTAGCTTCTGACTCCAGGCACAGAGTCTTTTCAGGTATATATTAATAACTACATGCTGCTTTAACAGCATTTTTCTGAATATGAAAACCAGTGCTGGCAAAAATCTGGACAGTTCCCCTGCCCTTCACTGCTGCATTCTCTCCCCCAAAAAGTCTTCAGTTTCAAAAGCCATTTTAAAACCAGTTTGAAAACGTGAATCCAGTAGCATTGTGGAAGAAAGTGGAATCTGGGTGTCACTCTTAATGACCTTTATAGCAAAATGGAGGGTAATATTTCCCACAGTAGAGCACTACCTATTATAGCACTAGATATTGTCACTAAACACTGGAACAAATCAAATCCCCAGATTTTCCTCTGATACAACGCTCATCTGTTGTGCCATCCATTCCAGACCTGGATCCAAACTTGGCCCCGACTCTTACACAGAGCTGAACCAGAACCCGAATGTGACAGCCAGCTGAACCACGGGACAGCGAGAACCTCATCCTGCCCGTCTGCCTCATCGCTCTGGGATCCTGAAGCCCCAGGGCTGTCATAGGCATACAACTCTAAAACACTACAGATGATCACCTTTCTTCTCAAGTTCTCCATATTTGTGTGCTCAGCTAAGGCTTAGGAGGGCCAAGCAAATCTTTGACAAACCAAGTTTTTTGGGTTTTTTTTTGTTTGTTTGTTCTGTTTGCTTGTTTTTAGAATCAGCCATTCGATAAAGCAGCTGAACTGGGCTAATTGGGCAACAGCCACTGAAGAAATTCACACCATTCTTTTCTTAAATTATGCTCTGATTCTTTTTCTTTGAGCATTGACCCATTGAATTTTGTAACCCAGCAAAAAGTTAATGAATCCCCCCACAATTCTTTGTTTATTTTTCTTTTTCTTTGAGAGCATTAGTTAAACTTACCTCAACAACGTCTGAGAAAAGTATTTCAAAGTATTTGCAATGTCAGTTCCAGAGGGTACAGGGTAAATGTTATGGAGAACTCTGTTATGGTATTCCTGGAGGTAGCGGATTTTGGAAGCAACTAGATAAAAGACAAAACACAAATACAGAAACTTTCAATTAGTGTATTGCAGGCTTTCGGGGAACTGCATCTGTTCCTAGCATTTCCAAATCTTTGAAACTGAAGAACTGAACTGCATCAAAGAATAAGTCTCTCCTTTCTTTCTAATTGGGCAGAATTAATTGAATATCCTAGTGCAAGTGTGCCAAGGGGAAGGAAAGGAAGGCAGTGAATGTCTGATTGTCTGTATCTGTTTTGGACTGACTTTGCCTTAACAAGCCAAAAAAAAAAAAAAAAAGCACTTTTCCTGTGTCTTCAAAAAATCTCAGGATTCATTTACAACATCACTGGATTACACATAGTTCATAAGAGGTAGATGAATATTTCTATTGCCAAAGCAGAGATATAAGCTAAATAGAGAGAGCTTATGTGATTTATTTTCAGCTATGAATTTATACAACAACACACTGGTATGAAATGATCTGTGCTGTTTATTTAAATGTTTGGGCAGTTCTGAGGCTCTACACCTTTACTGATATTGTTTTGTTTTGTTTTTAAAGAAATAACATTGTTTATCCTTCCTAATAAAGAGACTTGCTCAGTGTTGGAAGAAAGTGATCATCCAACTAAACTTCAATGCTTTACATTGCCTGTATGGCACAAGGCAATTCCATGGAGATATATCTGAGCGCACTATGAACCCATTTATGCTCTGCTCAGACTAATTAATCATTCTGAGAAACAGTACAGTGGGGCTGTACCCCACTCTAGCAGCTCAACTGCAGCAGCAGCCGGAACACCCAGCACTTGTTGATAGCATCAATCTGTGCAGACAGAGTCTCAGAGAGCGCAGAGTTGGCTGGGAATGCTTCATCATGCTAAGAGTGCACCATCATGCTAAGAGTCCACCAACAGACAGTGGAAAGGGGAGAAGCTTCTGAGTTACTTTAACCCCTTGAGCATATTCATTGTGAGAGTCTTTAACTACAACGAGATATAGTCTTTTCCCCCATCTGAGTTACTTTAACCCCTTGAGCATATTAATTGTGAGAGTCTACATTGTGAGAGTCTACTACAACAAGATATAGTCTTTTCCCCCATGCAGGGTTCCTTCAATGTTGGAGACAGACAGTGCTTCCTACACAAGCAGTTAACAACTTGTTTTATTCCTATTGTTCAACACCATGTATTACAGCATGAGTAATTCTTTAAGTTCTCCTTTGCACAGGAGTATACTAACTTCCAGAGGGATTTCCCCATGCCTCTGCTGCTATATCTCAACATTTCACAAGCATTCTCGTGAAGTTTTCTACATCGCTGATGCCCTGGAAGAGGAGAGGCGGCATTGTCTCCATAACAAAGAACAAGACTGAAGCACTGGCAGCAAGAGCAAAGCATCTACTCCTGCTGTTGGAAACTCTGACTTGAAATAGGAAGCCACTTTCCTTTTGAACTAGATAGCAGTACATGGCAGTTTTATGTCCAAAGTATCTAAATGCATCTGCAAGCACTCAGTAACAAACTATGCTTGATGATTTAAAGTCAATTACTCACAAAATGAGGACCATTCAGTTAACAATCAGGTGAAAAAGACTGTTTGACTTGAATGCTGGAAGACTGGATCTCTTGTCATGTAACTTATCAAGCCCTTATCAAGCCCATCTTTTCTCTCCTATTTCCTGCTATACTCACTGCACCCTTCCAACTTCTGCATTGACTGAAGCTTCTACAGACAAAACCTCCTTCACGATGTTGCCCTGCTTCATCCCTGGGAGAAGGCCCACTGCATGACTGAGAAGGGCTGTGGGAAAACGGCAAGTGAAAAACGCAGTTAGCAACGGTGACATAACGCATATGGAAAAGCAGTAAACTAAGGAGGCATAAGTAACTTTAACTGTGATATTTCTTCACTTGTGTTTTACTTTATAAGCTTATTATTGTTAAGGTGACTAAAAAGTAGTGATCTATTTTAATTATCCATTTTAAGGCAAGTGAAAGCAAAAATTTTGTCATTGGAATCTCACATGCTATAACTACGTTTAAGACTAAAGCATTTCAAGCCACCACACAGACCTCCATCATATAAGTTGTGCTTTTTAGAAGGTTATCCCTGTCTGCGGGACCTGCCACCACTAGCTTCCCACACAACTACCAAGACACTGAGGCAGTAACATTTGGTCATCATAGGTTTCACTTCAGGTTAGAGGAACAAGTTTATTTTGGCAAAGATCTGTTCTCCCCTCCTCTTCCCACAACTCATCTGCTCTGTTCATTATCTCTGTTCCCATTTTGGATCTGCATGTCAGTTTACCAGATTTAAAGACAGACACATATTATTTACTAGGGTGACAAAAATCCCTATTAAAAAAAAATCTTAGTAGTATTAGGAAGAGAAAAATAATTACTTCATTTTGTGATGGTGCTTTCTCTTGGAAGTCTTGAAGATACTTAAGTGCCTAAATGACCTAATTTTCTGAGTTACCAAGTACCTAGAGTCATGCTGCAGAAAGTGATGTCACTGTGTGGAAGTGCCTAGCCACTGATCATCATTAAAAAAAAGAAATTGTGAGGTTACTCCATGGTGCTGTGCTAGGTATTTCTGTAGTATCCACACAGATCAAACTAAGACCCCAACCCTTCCGCAAGCCTTGATTGAATCAAATTTTAAACTCTTAACAGTCTTTCAGGACAACCTTGTTTTTTTCCATTGCCCTGGTGAAGAACTGGGCAAGTCCATTCCCACAATGTTAGATAGCACAGCTAAATGCCAATTATTCCAAAATGAACTATCTTTGGATACCGCTGAACATCTCGGGCATGATGTCGTAATGAGACAAATAATGAAAGTCACTATCACCACTTATTATGAAATGCATACAGTCACAAAAAAGGGAGGCTTCTCAAGGCCATTTTCCAGATTGTCATCATTTAACCTGTTGCTTATGCAACCCATCAGAAAATCACAGCTGTCAGGTAGGAACAGTTCCTGCATGGGCACAGATCCATGTTTAGACCAGTGCCTTTTTCCTCCTTTTTTCTTTCTTTTCTTTCCCTGTATTGATCAGTTTATTGATCAGTTAGTTTGCTTCCTCATTCATGTTTCTTGGTAAATTCAGATTCCTTATGACATGTGACTCCTACCTGAGACGTTCTGATTCTTGCCTGTCAGCCAAGCAAGGTAGAAAGAACAACAAGCAGGGTTTGAAATTTTGCCTCGTGGAGATTTATTCAACAACACAACCCTTGCAGAAGTCCATCACAATCAAATAATAATAATAATAAACTTGGCAGTGCTGTATGAGCTAGTCAGAGGAGCAGCATTAGTAAACAAAATCCACTCAGTGGGTCAGAAAGCAGAGGGTATGCCCCTTAATTGAATACTCTACCTGGGCATTGTGAGAAAGGAAGGGCATTAGGAAGAGAAAAAAAAAAAACAAGGGACATGGCAGAGCCAAGATGCAGTCTCCTGAACAATACAGAGAGATGACAAGAGAAAACAGCAAGTAAAAATATGAAAGAGCAGCTCAAACTGAGCTGACAAGAAAAATATTAGGAAGGGAGAAAGAGGAGTAGAAAGGAAGCTAAATGCCAAAGACAGTACTGGGACAAGAGACAGCAGAAATTCTTCCATACGTGCGGGTGGAAGAAGTGCAACCAAGGCAGGAGCAGCAGCGGGGGCAGTGAGGGGAGTCACAGAACGGGGCTGTGCAGACCTGAGCACTGCATAGGTCAGGGGTGCACCAGGATGGCAACATCGCTGCTCTGTTCAGAAGGCCAAAAATGCATGCGCACAGCCATAAATCAGTGCCTGCACAGTAGTCTCATAGCAACATCACCCCTCTCTGCACACAACTGGTTAACCCTAAGGGAAAAGCAAAAACACAAGCACTCCTTTCGCTAGCTCAATGCGGCTCAAGCTTATATAAACACAAGGGCTCTTCGCATGGACCTGGAAAACCAACAGATCGCGCCAAGGGGACAGCAAGCTCCTGCCTTCGAGGTGTCCACCAGGCAAGCAGGTGCCCGCCTGGTGGTCCGGGGACTGCGCCCCGCGGGGAGCTGGGCCGCTGGGGGGAGAGAGGCGCCGCGCGCTGTCCCTGGTGACGGCGGGGAGCTGCCACCATGTCACCTCGCGGGGCTCCGCTCCCTCTCAACATGGTGGCTCCCCAAGCCCCCGGGGGGGGCCC